TCTATATGTATCTATATGTATCTATATGTATCTATATGTATCTATATGTATCTATATGTATCTATGTATCTATGTATCTATGTATCTATGTATCTATATATCTATGTATCTATATGTATCTATGTATCTATGTATCTATGTATCTATGTATATGTATCTATGTATCTATATGTATCCATATGTATCTATATGTATCTATATATCCATGTGTATATATCTATAAGTATTAATTTTTCTATGTGCGAATCTATGTTTCTATGTATTGTCAGTGATATATGTAGATGTTAAATGCCAAGTAAAAACAATATAGTGCTGTTAACATTCCAAGTGTTCAATTGATCAATTGTGCTGACAAAGGCGACGCTTTTACAGTTTAAGCTAAATTATTCGATTAGCTGTACTCATAAACAGACGGACTGTCAGCCAGCGAGGCAGACAGATGGACACCCCCCCAGATGTAGCTGACACCCAGTATAAACGGTTGACAAGCGGTTGCCAACTGTTAGCTGCCCGTTTCGGTTGCACTTGGATTGAGATCGAGATTACGATTGTAAATTGCAAATTGCACTAACGAATGCAACAACAACAGCAAGAAAACAAAAACAAAAGATCTGAAGCTTTGGCGAACCGGAATGGGAATCAGACTGAGTGCAACATATGTATATATGTATGTACAATAATATCTAATCATACTCATATGCTCATTCGCTGGCGTACACGTAACTTGACACACATTGAGTCTCTCGTGCAAGGCCGTCTAACATCCAGTTTTTGTTTTCAGTATTCAATTCGAAAATCTCGTTTTCATCATTCCAAGTATTTTATAATACTATCAAATACAATTCGAGCAGCTATTGTATGGCATCTAACTCGCGCCTAAACTCATTGCTAGCTAGATCTTATTTATATAATGCCAGATAACATTCCAGATATACATCTACTTGGAGCTTGGCCGTTCTAAGCATTCCTTTCGTTCAGTCACGCACTCCTCTCTAGGCGATAGTTCTGTAATTGTCAGCCAAGCGTGACTGGAAAGCCAACGCTTATCACACTTTATGCATCATATCAGTTGACTCAAAGTCGGTTTTCCATATTGATTTACCGTGACGACTACGTAATGCCCCAATACACATCGTGTTTAGTTGATGGACGCCCCATGGGGGATATTTATGAGGGGTTATCTAGCAGCTTCCCACAGATTCTCAAAGCGGTGACATCTTAGCAATCGTTTTTCAATTTGATAAATTCAGCGAGGAACAACGGAGAAATACCCTGTAATATGGCAAACTGAAGAGCAGCATTGAAAACTTAGCTTCAATTTGGTAGCTGTAAAGCAATTAAATAAGAGTATATATAGAGTGACCAGCAAACACCCCCTAATTCAAGAAATTAAGGTGAAAGCGGCTTGGTTAACTAAGAAATACCCTTTAATATAGAATAGTATTCGTCCCGTACTTATGTAGGTAATAACTTATAGTAAATATTATTCTGAAAAGAAAGTACAGATCATAAAATATAGATATAGATACTATATATTGGATTCGAATTAAAACAGTTGCCAGTAACATACCCTGTACTTAAAATAGACAATGCCTGGTATACCCCGTAGTATTAAAAATTTACTACAATCTATTGCTTTCAAATGAAGATAAATTGAGATTATGCAAAAGTTAATACCCTGTAATTGATGAAATATACCCTTTAATGAAATGCAAAATAAAAAATTGTTTTAGATTAGCTATCATTGGGGTGAAATACCGTGTGGAACATAAATTAACAATTGATTATTTCTAATAAATATAAACAGAAAATATTAGATATATAATATAACTGAAAAATACCCTACACTTAAGTTCAAACATATTAATAAGACCTAGGAGATAATATGAATGAGATCGATTGAGAAAAATAGAAATTCAAACAATTTCTATACCATATGTATTCGCTGTATTTCTACCCCACACCCTCTCCTCCAGCTATCAGCTTGTTTATTTCTATCCAATTCTGAAACGAGCCGTCAATTGAAGCTAAAGAAGATAATAGCTAAATATATCTGTTTGTCTAGGTATACTTTTATCTTTAATTGCTCATGACACATGTCGCTAAACGCTTATCAATATTAGGTAGGTAGAATTCAATTTTGTCATGTTGATCTTGGATATCTATATCTTTAGCGGTCTTTATATATTTGAATACCTAAGTAGTTTTTGTAGCTGTAAAAGTTATTCAATATTTTGTACTCATACACGTAGGGAAATGAGTATATTGGCTTTGTGCAATGTCCGTATTGCTATTCATGCGCCTGTCCGTCCGTCCGTCCGTCAGTTACTCTATTCGTATGCACGCATATCATTTCGCCCCTATTACAGTTAGAGACTAGAAATATGAAATATATACTTGTTGCTAGCCTCGTGCTCTAAACTGCTAAGATTTGTTTGATACGCCCACTAGGGGCGTGGCAAATCGATTAATGCTATTTCCGTCATCTCAGAAACGCTAACATAATGAATGGGTATGGTACAATCGATAACGCTCGATTGCAGTATTATTTATTTGTATATTGAAATTCATATCTGGAATTCTTCTGTTTGTGTTTTCAGTGATAAAAATGCACAATAATCTAGATAAAGGGCCCAGAAACATTTGTGATTTCCACCAAAACCAAACAGTGTGTGTGTGTGTGTGCCTGTGTGTGTGTGCCTGTGTGTGTGTGTGTGTGTGTGTCTGTCTGTCTCTCTCCTATAGACATATACATATGTGTATGTATATGCAGCTAATAATACGAGTCAAATCCAAAATATAGACCCTCGTTGTTTATAAATATTACTGCATGCATGTAATCATCGGACGTTGATTAACGAACACACACACAAACACACACACACACTCACATTACACTCTCTACACTCACTGGGGGCACTCATATTCACACTCATTCAGCAGCGATCTGCCCAGCTTTCCACTCAACACTCAAGTCGCTTGCTCTCGCTCTCGCTCACATGGCCGCACTCGTCTCTCTCTCTCTCTCTCTCTCTCTGTCTCGCACACCAGTTCTATATAGATCAAAACTATGTAGGGGTAGGGGCACGAGGGCGGCGTAGTGAAATGCTTATAGCACTAGCTCTCCATGCTGGCCGCATGAGTGTATGTATGTGTATATGTGTGTGTTTGTGTGAGTGAGTGTTTTTTCTTTTTTGAAAATAAATAATCACTCATACGACCTGCCGGCATGTCGCATTGCGTACTGTTTACTTCTGTGGGAATTCAGTTTGAATTCGTTAACAGGCGCTAACGGTTTGGGTGTCCGAAAAGAAAGAGAACTAAACACCCAAGAGATCCTTCAAAATGTCCATTCAAAGGTTAGTAAGAAAAGCAAAAAAATAAATGAAAACAAAAACAAAACAAATCAAGATGAGCAGCTATACGAAGTGTGAGTGAAAATAAAATCGCGATCAAAACATAAAAAATAAAAAATGAATTTAATGAGAAATTACATGAATAATAGATTTCTGAATTGTGGAATTCGACGCTCGCTAGCAACAACTGATGCAGCTTGACAAAAACAAGAAGTCGTAATCTTATCGACATGCGCTACACTCATCTATATATAAAACATACAAATAATAAAAATAAAACATTTGTATGCTCATTCATGAAACTGAAGCGAGTATATTTGGTTCTGTGAAATGTTCGTCTTGATGTTCATTAAGAACTTGGAATTTCGGAACATATGCCCGAATTCTAGAACTTCAAGAATTTTCAAGAATTTTCCGATGCGCCTATTTTTGGGCGTGAAGCCTAAAAACTACTAAAATATGATATATATACATACATATATCCCATTTGTGTGGCACATCCGTAAATGGAAATGGATAAGTAATTTGTGAATAGGTATTTCGCAGTCAGTAACACCCGATTATTTCTATTTTTTTTTGTAAATTATTTTCTTTTTCTTAATATTGCTCGTATAACACGTACTGTATGTGTGGTCTATTAGTTTTTTCTTTCCTTTCTTTTTTTTAGTGTGTGTGTAGATAAGGTCCATTTGGTACTCTGACCCCAGCAATCGAAACTTAAGTTTTTTTTTTATTTTTGTTATCTTTGAAGTGTAGCAGTAGCTAGCGATTATTATTGTAACAAAATAGTCGAGCAATTAGCCGACTCTTAGCTAGAACCTAAAAACAATGCACTTTGTACGATTTGGAAAATAGAAAACAAAAATCCTATCGAACCGGCTTTCGTTACAATTTACACGGAAATTTTATTGTAACACTGTTATTAGGCTTAACCTTTCTAGCATGGCCCTCTTACAATGTTGTAGCCGTTAAGCCTCCCATTTGACAAGTAATTGTATTGTAATTATTGAGCTTGTTTAGAAGGGTACAATTATATAATTGATGGATTGATTTATTGACTGATTCTGATGATTATTCCATTAACATAAATTAACGCAGAAGGAAAACTGCATTCGGCATTCATTTATCATTTCCTTATATCTATATGCTGTATATGTAGATCAGAGCTAGAAAGGAGGTGTATGTTAAATTACTTACAGACATCATTCAATTTTTGCTACTATATATCGAGTGTCAGACAGTACTATGTATATATTATTAAAAGATTTCTTTCTTTTTCAATCATTGAAATTGTAGAAAAAAAGGACTTCAAAACATATCGGTCTAGAAAATTCCTTATATTTCCATCATATTGCCATAGTGTTTATTTTTTGTATATATTTTTCTAATATCATATTTATGTTAAAAACGACTTATTCAAACTATGTAGCTGCGATTTTATTTGATAAATCTCCTGTGTAGCTAAAACGCTATCTTAGACATCAGCTAGATAATATAATATAATAATATAAAATTATTTTTGATATACTGGTATATAACTATTACTTTATGTCTAGCATATACTTATTTTCAGAGATTCTATTTATTAAATTATTATTTTAAATTATATGTGCATGATATAATTTTCAACTTGAATTCATGAACGTTGATCTTTTGTCGAATAACAGAGTTCCAAATGTTAACAATATTATATAATATATATGTACATACATATAATATAATGTATGCTTCAAGTCGAAAGTTCTATTGCTGCTTCCAAGAAGTTTCATGTAAGAACATGAAACTAAGGATAAATATCGTGACATTGAACGTATAACTGAATATCATTAGACTTAACGTGATTCTATTGTAATGAACATTGTAAATTCTACAGAATAGATAGATATAGTGTGATTGGGGTGTGACTATGTTGTGGGTGTTGCTTGATGCTCCGAACGAGTTAAAGTCAAAGTCAAAGCTAAAAAGCCAGGGTCGGACTGAGAGTTTCGTTATGAACTGTATGCGAAGGTTTGGCTTGAGGTCAGGGTTCATGGCAGCTGACCAACTCATATTATACAATGGCTGAATTCAATGCGCTTTTGTTGCTGTTCTGCTTTCGTAATTAGCTGGTTGGCCATTTATGTATATATTTGTACTATTTATACAAGCTATATGGGCTAGCGACAGCGCCAAAAAAAACAATAAATTTGCTGACAGTAGCTGCAACAGCCGCAGCTCTCTTTCCCCACTGCTCTGTCTCACGCTTTATTGAATATGAAGCTGAGCTGAAAATAAAACAAACCAAACAAAAAGAACAGAATTACAAACGTTCTGTCAGAGGTCGCATGGTCAGCAGCTGGTCAGAGATAAAGATAAAAGCGAAAGCGAATGCGAATGAGTATTTGGTGTTGCGGATGCTCAGAAGTGTAAATCGTCCGTTGGAGCTCGACCTACAGACCCATGGATATGTTAACGTACAGATCTACATACATACACTTACACGTACACATGCGCGCGCGTGTACACGCACACACATTTAGCCTATTCGAGGGCTGCCTCTAAAATAACAATGTTGTGCGTCTGGTGAAAAATTATGAAAACTAAATTATTTGAATATTTTATTTATATTTGTGTGACAAGGACAACTAAAGTGTGACCAGCTAGACTTTGTATTTTCAAAGTTTGGCATTATTTGCATATTCGTATGTAAACAAGGCTCGTGTTGCTCTCTGGTGCGGGCAGGATTGTACAATGTGACCAGCACATGTTTAAATGTGAATAGTTGGCGTTTTTTTACACCAACTACATTTAAAATTTAAATCCAGGATAAATAGCTTTGATGTACATATATTGCAAAGCATTATGAAGTGCGCTCATTAATTGCTTGAACTTTTAATCAAAAATTGTCGCAAAATTAATAATAATGTATATTTCAAAGCGAAATAAAGACAAGCTAAGTAAATTAAAAAAAAAAACTTAATACAAAAATAATAGAAATGGTTACTTTATTATTCAAAATAAACACAGCTAAGAAAATTATAAAAAAGCATAATACAAAAATAATAGAAATGGTTATTTTATTATTCAATTCAACAAAATACTTTGATAAATACTCAAAAAAAACCTGCTATAGCCGTTTAGTTATTTTGTTAACTCTGGCAACGCTTCCATTCAATTAGCGGTGAAATTCAGTGCAATATGTAAGTAAGTTTAAACGGTAAACTCAAAAGTTGACAATAAATTCCATTACTTTATTATATACTAAATGAGTTTCAAATAATTTGCCATAATATTTATGCATACCTTAACAGTAAACTGTAAAACATTGGCAGCCGAAAATTTTGTTCATTAATATTTAAGAGTAAACAAAATAATGGGTATTCGCTAGTTCAACTGACGCACATTATTAAGGGCAGACCTCGCAGAGCAGCCACACATGCTCAATATTGGCTTAGATCTCGCTATAATTAACCATTGTCACGCACTTTCCACAATTATGACATCCCCCTTTTCCCCTTAAGCACACAACTGATTAATTTACTACTTTACAGCAACAACAACAAGCCCAATGGTGGCGGAATCGAGATTGGCCAGAACACCATTTATAATATTGTGCTGCTGATCGTGGACATTGTGCTGTTGGTGTTCAAATTCTGGCTGACGATTATACAGGAGATCATCAAGCTGTTCACTACCCGGCCGTTGGAGCATGTCAACGGCAAGTTGGTGCTGATCACTGGCGCCGGCCATGGCATGGGCAAGGAGATGGCATTGCAATATGCTCGCCTTGGCGCCAAGGTGCTCTGCTGGGACGTCAACGAGCAGACCAACACACAGACAGTCAAAGAGATCAAGCAGGCGGGCGGCACAGCCCACGGCTATATTTGCAATGTGGTCCGCCGCGAAGAGGTTCTGGAGTTGGCTACCAAAATACAAAAGGAACATGGCTTCGTTAGCATTGTGATCAACAATGCTGGCATTATGCCATGCCATCCACTGCTCGAGCATACCGAACAGGAGATACGTCTCATGTACGACGTCAATGTGGTTGCTCACTTTTGGGTATGTCTCTACTCTCGCTTACACACAGCCTCCACTCTTCTGGCTTTGTATTTATTCGTTTCTTCTCTAACTCTCTCTCTCTCTCTCTCTCTCACTCTTTCTCTTGCAGATCATCCAGGCCTTCCTACCCGCCATGATTGAGCGCAACGAGGGTAACATTGTGGCTCTATCCTCCTGCGCCGGTCTCTTTGGCCTGCCCAATTTGGTGCCCTATTGCGGCACAAAGTTCGCCGTGCGTGGCTACATGGCAGCCCTGGCTGAGGAGCTGCGCAAGCAGAATCCACTGTCCAAAGTAAGACTTCTTGCTGTCCACTGAGCTATCGTGTTAATTACCTGTCTCCTTTCAGATCAAATTGACCACCATCTATCCGTATATGATCGATACGGGTCTGTGCAAGAATCCGCGCTATCGTTTCCCCAATCTGATGAAACTCATTTCGCCCAAGGACGCGGCCGCTTCCATCATCGAGGCCCAGCGTCAGGGTCTGGAGGAGGCGGCTATACCTCGCCATTTTGTGGGCGTTGAGAAGCTGGGTCGCATAATACCCAGAAAAGCGATGCGATTGGTCAACGATTTCCTCGATACGGGCGTCGATACCGACAAGATTTAAGCCAAAATTTCAAATTGAAAATAATGAAAGAAACCAAAAAGAAAAACTAAAGGTAGAACGCGAAACTTCCAATGATAATTTTAAGTCTCAACAGCTTTATCGATATTCCTTCTAAATTTTTTTTTTTTTTTTTACTTTTTTAAATTTTTTTAGTGGATTTTATACATATTCTTATATTTATCTACTTATACAAGATGTGAATTTAGTGAGCTTAAAGGTTGTTACTTAATAAACAGTTAATTATATCGATTATGAATTTAATTGGAATTTCTTTTGTAATTATAAAAATTGTAAAGATATGAATGATATATATCAATATATAATATACAATCTTTTTGAGGATAATTTTGATGGTGAATAAGATAATGATGATGATGATACTGTCGAGACTGATAAGGATGATTTTTGGTCAAAATATCGATGATAATAGTCATCATTGCGCTACTAAAAATATTGATGATGACGGAGTGTGATTGTAATGCTGATAAAGATGATAATAATAATTATCAACTATGATAATACTGATACATTTTTACATTAATAATACATAGTTGAAATATACCCAAAAAGGTCAATAATTCAACCTTTTTTCGAATTACCTTTAAGATCTCAACTATGCTTTAAGCCTAGCCGTAACTTCGCATACCAATGGAAATCATTGTTGACTTGATTGCGACCTAGAGCTATTATCAATTCCAGATTGTGCCATTAAGCTGAGTCAGACTGAAATCATTTTGAAAACACTTAAGTTTATAGAACATTAAACGAAAGATTGCTAATTGCAGTCTCAATTAAGATCACACCTATTTGAAAGGGGATTTCCTAGGAAACACGAGCAGGTTAATTGGGCCATATTTCAGACAAAGTGGCAAACGTCTAATGAGACTACATGTTCATAAATATATGCTGATATAGAGCTTATTTTCTGGAGTGTTTGACTGACTGTTCGATTTATTGAGTTAAGGTTCTTAACTGAAAGCTTGGGAAAATTAGAAATTTTCTAAGCAATTGGCAAATATGGATACGAGACCTTATAAAACATTCAGAGGTTATTACTGGAGCAACTATTAGATATACTTTCCCCTGATGTGCCTTAGAAATCTATCTATACTTAAAGCAAAGCTTAAGACTATATTGTATATATATAATATAGATACTATGTATATGAATATTAATGATCAATATGTAATACCTTCGCATATGGAGCGTCAATTAAAATTTATATGTACAAGTTTTTCCCAAAGATCATTTCAGGACATCATGCCTTCCCCATATGTGTAAGATCTATGGCTATATACTTCCCAATTCAATATATGCTTATCAGCCAAATAGTTCTACATAGATACTATATATTTTTGATATCGTTTGTTTTTCAACGTGAACAGCGAACAGAGAGAACAGGGATTTGGTGGATTATTTTTTGGCTTTGGTCGCTGCTGCTTTGGCCGCTGCTGCCTTGGCCTTGGCCTTGGCCGCACGCATCTCTCTGGCCTCCTTGGAGGTTATGGAGCCGGGACGCTTCTTGCGCGCCTCCTCGATCTTGGCCTGCTCGGCCAGATTGTCCAAGTAGAGTTGCTCGAAGTCGGTGCGCTCCATGACTTTCTTTTCGGTGGCCCGCTTGCGATCGACAGCCTCGAGAGTCTCATGGAAAGTGGCCAGAGCCAGGCGAAATTGTTCGTCGGACTCGATCATCTTGATGAACTGATCGGGATTATCGGGATCCAGCTCTAGATCGGGCACCACTGGCGGTGCCTCCTCAACGATGGCGGCCTTCGACTGGCGTTCCTCCTCCTCCATAATGAGTGTGCGGCGACGCAGCTTGATCTCATCAACGCGTGCCTCCAGCAACTTGCTGCGCGTAATCTCACGCTCGAACATCTGGATGGGAAAGCGGGAGGAAGGGCAGAGGAAAACAGAGGTGAGATTAGAAGAGATTAGGATTAGCATCGTCAGCTTACTGCCGCCATGAGTGCCTTCTCCTTGCTGGTGGTCTTCTTCATGGCCTCATCCATATTCATGATATGCGTATCGCCATTCGATAGGGAAATGGCCAAGTGCTGTCCGCCCGGCTGAAAGACAACGGCCGTGATGGTTGAACCGAAATTGATGCTATAGATGGGCTTGCGTTGACTCAATAGAAAGTCCCAGAAGTCAACAACGCCATCGATGTCCCCAGTGACAAACAACGAGGCGCGTGCACTGCTCCAGGCGCCGCACATTAGCTGCGAACGCTTCTTCACGTACATGGTGCTCGGACGATTCTTGACCTCCTCGCACCAGATGCGTGCACGCCAGTCCCCGACAATGACGAAATTCTTCACGAAGAACGGGTTGCGATGGATCGTGCGAATCGGCCCGGCACAGATCATGAAACTACCAACGAGCATCTCAACGGGATTCAGACCCTTGCGATTGCCCACGAAAACGCTGCCCAAGTCGGTGCCAGCTATAAAACGAACCGGAATGGTATATTCAAACTCCAGAACGGTGCAGCCGTGGGCATTCTGACGGTTTTGACGATTGCGCGTATACGGCTCCAGAACGATCTCATTGGCTGGCATCTTGAGATCTCGAATGTCCCAGAACTTAACCGAACCATCCAACGAGGCCGAGTAGAATTCTGTATTCGATTTCGAATAGACCCAAGTTAGGGAAGAAGTTTGTTCACGATGTGCCGCCTCCATGGGGCACGTGCTGATGCACATGCCACTCTCGAAGGTCTCCCAAATGCAGACCTTGCCCGTATATGTGCCGGCTGCCATATTGTTCTCCTCCTTGGGACATATCTTGGCGCAAGATATAATCTCCGGGCTGTCATAGTAATACAAGGGCTTGATTGGGTTCTTAACATCCCAGACGTAGAAGGCATTGGTGCCGCCATTGCTATCATCATTGATGACCATGCGACGGTTCTCGCCCTTCAATTCATACAGATTGCTATACTGGGTCATAATCTGTCTGTTGTTATTGGGCATCCAATTGATCACGGACATGTAACGCTGTGGCTGCCACAAGTCGTGAATGATGTTGATGGTGCGCGACTTGAACGGCATGCAAATGGTGCGACCCAAATCGTGTGGCAGATCATCAAAGAAATGATCATATATGTTAATGGCATTGTTTTGGCGAGCTGTATTCATTGTGGTCCTTATGAGCTCCTTAACCTCTTCGCCCCAAGCATCATCACGTTCGACTTTCTTGCGATGACGCAGCGTTTGCTCCTCGTCGTTCATGTTGACCTCCTTGGGCCAGCCGCCCTCGTAGTGAAACATACCATGATCATCGTAGGTTGCATTCTCTGTTTCCACCTCACTCAATGCCATCACGGAGCTCAGTTGCATGGCACGTGTCTGCGGATTACCCATGATATATTTGAGGCGTAGACGGCTGCTCGGATGTACGCTGACCATTAGCTCGTTGCGATCCTCGAAGACGCATTGGCGACCAAAGCGGCGACGCTCGCGCGTCACTACCACCTGATTCTGAAACATGATTATAAATATATGCTAACGAATTATAACTGTTAAGTTCTTGTTTATTTGTATTTGCACTTCATAAATATCAGTTTACGATTGTATGTTACTTATATTATATAGAAATTCTACAAATTTCTCGCACAGATATGAACATGAATTTTGTTGAGCTGTAACTGCTATAGAGTTGAATTTTTTTCAAATTTCAATTGAGCTTTTTGAAATAACTGTCAACGTGAATGGCTTGACAGTCTACTCTAATAACATGTATATCAAGTGCTGAGCAGTTATGTTCGCTGTGGAGCAAAACTGTTAAATGAGCTGCAGGTAAACTCTATGGAAGCCTTAATTTATGAATGATTGTACATAATTATTTTCGACTAATATATGGTATATAATGCCATTTAACTGCTCAACTATATTGAACCAAAGTGCGCCCTCAATTTGTACCGCCATCTTCACTTAACATTAACAGATCAATTGGGCGGCAATGTTAAGTGTACAGAGTGATTTCGGCAAAGTGAATGTCAGCGTGGTTGCGGTCATACGTGAATGGCGCTCTATGGCGAGTACACAAATTCAACAACTGAAATTCGGTTTTGTGTCTCCTCCTGGTGCTGTCCAGATATAAACCGCACACCGCTGGATTAACCAGTGTCCAAGATGTCACCCAAATATACACACGCAATCGTTGCCAGGTGAGTGAATGGAAGTCGCCTGGCTAAGCTGCGCAGTGCAGCGCTCACCTGGACGGGGAAATTAGGTCATGTTGCCTAGGCAATGGCTCAGTGGTTGGCTTTGGGTGGGGCCAGGTTTAAGGGTTGGGGCAAACCAGCAAACATAGTCACCCACGCATTGACCCCGTGCTAAGGCGTAAATTACTTCATTCATTCATTCATGCACTCGCTTATTCACAGTTGATTGTTGTTAATTCGTTTAATTCATAATTTGCGTGTGATCTTCAGAATCTCCAATGCCTTGCTCGAAACGGGCGACTTTGATGTACAATTGGCGAAGCAACAACACGAACAATATTGCACTCTATTGCGTGAAATTGGCTTGGATGTGATCGAGCTGCCGCCGGATGATGCTCTGCCCGAAGGCGTCTTCGTTGAGAGCTGCGCCGTGGTCTGCAATGGAGTTGCGCTTATTGGCAGATCGGAAAATCCGAAACGCCGCCGCGAAGCGGAGAGCATGGCCATCATTTTGAAAAAGGAGCTGGATATACCGGTTATCGAAATCGATGATCCTCATGCCCAATTGGATGGCGGTGATGTGCTCTTTACGGGTAGGTGAATAAATTCAAGCAAATTAATCAATATATTCGCAATTACTGTAATAATCACGGTAATCGCTTACAGGGCGCGAGTTTTTCATTGGCATTTCTAGTTTCACAAACGAGGAGGGCGCCCGCGCCGTTGCCATGGCATATCCCGAATATCCAGTGACTCCTATAAGAGTGAGTTAGGCAAAGACTTGATTTATATTTAGTTCTAATCGAAAGAAATTTGATTATTTCTGAATAGGTGAATGGTTGCAAGCGCTTAAAGTACTACGTCACTATGGCTGGGCCGGATGTGCTGTGTGTGAGCACAAGTGCCACCTGCCAAGAGATTGTGAAGCGCATGGAGCGAGAGGCGAGCTTCACCTATCAGAAGCTCACGTTGCCCGAGGAGAGTGCGGCAAATATGTTGTATATCAATGGCACAATTGTGCACAGATCACCCGCTGAGATTCCAGAAGCCTACAAGGTATTTCCCCCCCACTGTTATACGACTGTTCTACATGCACTACATTCTTCGATTTTATTTACAGACTTTAAAAGAGAAAATCGACATTCCAACACGTAACATAAACATTAGCGAATTTAGCCAATTTTCCAGTGGATTGACATCGGCGTGCCTTTTGCTGCGACGCTGGAAGTCCATACGCAGCATTTGAATATGCAAATCGTTGCATCGATCCTACATCCAACTATCCATCTATATAAATCGAATAATGTTATTTTGTATCTAAAGAGAACAAAACACGCACAAGCGCTAGTTTTCATTGTTAATGGCGCAGCAATATCAATATGTCAACTAATTAGTAATATATCATAAATATTTGTATTTAGCGTGCATCTATTGCAACATTTTTGAAACCGTTATTTGTTAAACTTTAAGTAATATAATGTTAAAGTATTTATACATATACACAAAAACCTAACACAAACACACACACACACACTGACACAGCCTTCGCACACATTCTCTAAACCTTGTTTATTTTTTGTACATTTAAATAGTTATTTAATTTATGACAATATGCAAAAAAAAATTATATATATATATATCTTATATATTACAAATTTTATCATTGGACTCTCAGTTGTGCGACTACGTTGTCTAGCTAACGAATTGTATCTACTTTACAAGTAGCTGTTAAATGTGTTCACTGTACCGTAAAATATAAATAAACGCTAAACATTTGTAATTTCTTTACAAAACAATTTGTATAAGTATTTCTTGTTACTTGTATATTGATACAGTGTATAATTATATATATTTAAAAATCTATATTCATAATATCGTGTTTACGACATGAAAGATATTACATCTTTCAGAATTTAACGTTATATCGAAATTCTTTCCCTATTTATTTCGCAAACTGCCCTTACCCAAATACCGAATACCCAAGTACTTTTCCTTAGATATTTCCCTCCCATAGTACTTATTCGCAATTACCCCAAAAGCCTTCCCAGGATATTCCCCAAAAATATCCTTTTTCCCTTGGAAAACTTAACCAAGTCTCCGAGTATCTCTAGGTAGATATTTGTTTAAAATTTAACTTTAAACTTTAAATTCCATATTTCCACTTTTTTTTAATGAAATAAAAAACAATTTGTTTTTAAAATTGCATTATTCGCACTTCATTTTTGTGAAATATACAAAATACATAATACACAAAAGTTTAGTTACTAAAATTTAACATTTTAAAAACTGTTTTAATCTTTAGATGAGTTCAGCTTACAGTTGACTTATTTACTCGATGTTTCATGAAGTTATATATATGTATATACTATGTAAATTTGTTGTTGTGTTTGTTTTCATAATCTCTTTTTTTTTTTTTTTTTGTTGTTCTTGTTGTAAGCGATTTCTTAGGGCCTATATATAGACATAATAAATAGATGTTGTAGGAGTCAAGTGAGTTGTGTGAAGTATGTAATGCCAAATGAGTTACGCTAGCCAAGTATATATATGTCTACTTATATGTATATATATATATATGGTATATATGAAGCATATAAAAGTACAAATGCAATATACAGTAAATATATATAGTTAAAAAAATGCTTAGGCTCTATTGAGGAGAGGAATACTTTGGCATTGGCCTAGCAGCCAAGCACGGAGGGTTTGTCGTATCGTCTCTATAACTATGCCTACATCTAGTTATAGATGCAGAAATATCTGTGTAGTCTATATAGTCTATATAGGCTAGTGTATAAGCTAACTAGGATTGTTTGCTCTAGGATCGATATAGGAAATGACGCTGCTTTGGCTGCTATCGTCTTCCACAGTTTCATTGAGATGATCTTGATTGCTGCTCGAGTTGGGATTGGGATTCGAATTGGAATTGGAAGTGCTGGAGGACGGATGCTGCAGCTGTGTCTCAGTCTTACGCAATCTCTCGGCCGCTGTTGGCGAGCTGTGCGCCTCCTGCAGCAGCTGCTTGCAGGCCCTGAGCGGACTGCGGCACTTGATGGCCTCGTATAGCTCGTCAATGGAGTTATTCATGGCCACCTCGTCATCCTCATCATCGTCGACGCCACCAGCACCAGCGCCACCACCACCAACAATCTCATCCTCCTCGGTGGCTTCCGCTGTGGCCTCGCGGCCACCAGCTCCGCTATTGCCCACGTGCAGCTGGTTCTGATGCAGTGCATAGACGGCATCACCATTGGCCACAAACTCATCGTCGAACTCATTGAGCACATCCACATCCGCGTCGCTGGCATTCGAGGACTGGTAGCAACGGAAATCGTCCGTTAATGTCAAATTCAAATCGTTGTCCGTCTGCGGCGCATACAGTCCGTGGCTGCGTATGCTGATCTCAGAGTTCTGGTAGTTCAGATCGCTCTCATTGGTCGGGCTGGCGGAGAGCAGCCGCGTGCTGCTCGGAAGATTAAAGTGATCCACACCGCCGACGCCAGCGCAGGGCCGGCTGCGTGCATTGTGCGTGGCTTGCAACTGGGGCAGATTGCTGCTGGAGCAGGAGTACATCATCTGGGTGACCAGCGAATTGCCGCTGCTGCCAGCCAGGGAGCCCAGATTGTTGCCCTCCAGAGCAGCTGTTGCCGCACTGCCAGCGGCCTCCTTGGTGGCAGCGCCCGCGACGAGCATGTCGTGTATATTGTTCAAGGACTTGGACTGCTGCTGCTGGCTGTAGCGGATGAGCACGCTGGGAAAGTCATCCTCCAGGCGTATGCTATTGGTCACCTGCAGCGAGTTGGACACATAGATCTCGTGCTTCTGCAGCAGCGGCTCCTCGGCAGCGGCCGCCTCGCTGCTCGCCGCCTCCGGCAGACCCAAGCTATTCATGGCCTCCAGGCTGGGTCGCTTCACGGGCGTGGAGCTCAGCGGCGCTGCTCGCTCCCGAAAGACCTGCGCGTTAAGATCGCTCTGCGGTGTGCCGGGCATTGTGTTGGCATACAGCGGCGCATGCTCATCCAAGGAGCTGCCGTCGTCATCCTCGTGCGTGGTCAACAGCTCGTCGTCGTGCTCGTGCAGCGTCTCGTCCAGCAAGGATGGAGTGCGCAGCTTGATCACCTCATGCTGCGGCGTCAGTGTCTCCGGTATATTCGTGTAGATGTTCGCCTGCAATATCTTGGAGGCGGGCACAAATCGCTTGTGCTGCTGCTGCTCCACCGGCGACTTGTAGTGCAGATTCGTGTTGTTCACCTTGCTGCCGCCAGCGAGTAGGGTCATCGCATTGTGATGCCGTGCATACAACTGCTCGGAGCTGGCGTCGCTCAAGCTGTGCTGGCTGTGCAGCTGTTGGGGCAGCGCCTGGCGCTGCAGCTCGAAATTGTTGCGCTTGGCCAGACGCTTCTGTTTCTTGAAGAACTTGCGCGCCACATTGATCTGATTCGGATTGTAGAAGATTTCGGCGCTGGGTATGCACTCCTGCCCGTTGCCCACATGGAGTAGATGATGTTGTCCCGTCTGCTGGGAGACAGCGGAGGCTCCGCTCAGCGTCTGCTGGCCATGATTGTTGTTGATGATGGTTATGGACGTGGCCGAGTTGCCTCCCATGCCGCCTACGCCTCCACCAGCGCCGCCGCCACCGCCGCCGCCAACTCCGCCAGCCAACAGCTGCTGTGTGGTGCAGTCCAAATGGCCATTGCTGCGATTCTGGCTGCGCATGCTCCGGGCACTGCTGCTGCGTTGCTTGTTGGAGCACTGGCTATTCGAGCGCGAGCCGGCCGAGTTGTTCGGCTCGTAGAGGCTGCCCGGACCCGCTTTGTAGGCGACAATTGAGTTGCTTATCATGGCAGCGCCCTGGCCAGCCTTGGCGTTCGATGTGCCAGCGGCCGCTGCAGCTCGCGCTTGACTGCTGCCATTCCGGGCATTATTGTAGGCCACCAGGCGACTGGATCTGGCCAGGCGATGCTGTGCCCAGGCCTGGCGTGCATCGTTCCGGGTCAGATTGTAGAAGAGCAGCACAAACAGAGCCAAGGCCACACAGCTGGCGACAAAGCTCAGCACGTAGAGCTCCTCCTCGCTGTGCACATAGAAGGCGGCCGATAGCCAGGCGCAAACGTAGAGCACCAGGAAGATCAGGTGTCCACGCAGATGTGACATATTGGAGCGCTCGTAGTCATCCACGATGCTGCTCAACGGATTGCTCAGTGTGCTATACTGCTCCTGCAGCTGCAGGGCCGAGCTGCTCGCCTCCTGCTTGACGGTCGCACAGCCATTGGAGTCCAGCCAATCCAGATCAATGTGCTCCGTTGCCTGGGTATTATTGTCCGAGTATTGACGCTGGCCGAGATGCTGTTGCTGCTGCAGCACATTCACCGCCTGCTGGCTGAGCTGATAGTAAATGCAGAGCGCCAGGAAGCCACTGAAGATCAGCAGAATGCCGGCGGGCACCACCAGCGCATTCAGCGTCGTCGAGTTGTGCAGGAAGCAGAAGCTGTAGGCGGCATACTCCGACATGTTGACGGCGCTGCTGATGCCACAGATGAGCAGCGCAATGCCCCAGCCAACCAGATAGATGCCCAGTATGGGCTTGCGCTGGTGCGGCTCCTGCGGCAGTTGCATGGGCAGCGACTGCTGTCCGTTCAGTGGCAGCGATGTGGCGGTCGTTGATTTGCTCAGCCGCTTGTACATGCTGCTCAGGCTGACGCACAGCCAGAGCAGCACACAGAGGCTGAGGTAGTGCAGCAGCAGTCCAAACAGGCGGCAGTGCAGCAAATTCGTTGTCTGATAGATGCCCAGCATGAAGGTCAGGCAGAGTGTGGACAGGGCCAGCCAGGTGTTGACCAGGGCGTGACGCTGCACCCGATTGATGCGTATGGCACAGCCGAAGACCACGAATGTGACGATGTTGAACCAGGCGCAGCCGAACAACAGACCGCAGCCCACATAGATGGGCAGTGGGGCGTGCCGGAAGCGGGCGCCCGCCTGCTCGCTGCGATAGTCGTTCAAATAGGCGGCCCGCTGCAGCAGTCCGAAGTAGCCGCTGCGACTGCTGCAGCTGAACATGAGCAGAGTGCGATGCTGATAGTGCTGCTGGCAGACGCGGGTATTCCATTCCTGTTGCTGCTCATCCCACCAGGCGGGCAGCGGGGCACTGCGCTCGTCATGATACGGATGGGCGCGCAGCATTATGGTTATGCGCTGCTGATAGACGTCGTCCTGCTCCAGATTCAGCTCCTCCTCGACGGCTGGCAGTGGATTATCGATGGGCTCGCCCTCGCTGTAGAGACGCGCTCCGATAACCACGGAAGACAGCGTTTCATTCTGCTTGCTCATCAGGTTGGGCAGCAGCTTGGCGTTGCGATGCAGCGTAATCATAAGCCGCAAATTTCGCTGCTGGCTGCTGGAGCTGTTGGCCGATGTCAGCTGATCGCTGAGCACCTGGTAGGGCACCTGTATGGCTGCATCGATGTCGCCGTGCTCGTACATGGGTATCGTATCGTTGGCGCTGTTGCACTGCAGCCCACGCTGGCTGCCGTCGAGCCACACGCAGGACATGCTCAGAAATTGCTCCAGGCTGATATTGAAGAACTCCACGAAGATGTTGCGCTGCAGCATCTGGCGCCGCCAATCGCTCGTCTCGCCATCGCCGGCGGCCATGGTGCTGCTGGTGGCCAGTCGCAGGGCGGCGGCCTCGACAATGTGGAGCAGCTTGTGGCTAGTGCCCTGCTCCAGCTGGGCGGCCTCGAAGATCTTGACCGGCAGCGTGAGCAGCTGGGAGACAATGTCCATTAGCAAGTAGCTTATCTCCTGCTGATGTGCGTCCAGTTGCTCGAGATATTTGAGCAACGTTCGTGCTATATACTCCAGGTCCATGGGATCCCTAATCTTGTGCAGCTGCGTCTGTATGTGTGTAAAGTTGTGCAAGCGCCTCGCAATTTCCAGCGCATTTTTGCCCTTCGTCAGCGTTAGATTCACCTTCGCGAACTGCTCGAAAATGCGCGTCGTCTCGCTGACATAGACACAGCTCTCGACATTCAGGCGATGCCATTGACCGTCGTTGCCGCACTCATGCGAAGCCCTTCGCTGCAAGCTCATATCGCTGGGCTCCTCGACGCAGGCCTGCAGCACCGTCTCACCTCGCATTGTGCGCGGCCAGTGGTAGCTGCCCTTGTTCGTATGCGTGATCATAGCATCGCAGTAGAGCGTGCCCTTGGCCACCACATGCAGGACAATGGATTGGGACAGATTCGCTTGCTGGCTGCGCAGCGTGCAGTCCCACATGCCCGTATGATTCTGTGTTAGGCTGCTAATGCGTAGGATCGAATTCAATATGCCCGAATCGTTGGAATGGCGCGTTTCCAAGTGCACATCGTTGAACACCTTGGTGGGATCCCGATAGATGATGTCATCTGTGGAGTTTTGGTGTCTGATCTTATCCGACCAGCCCCAGAAGACGTAGGCACGCGTGGGCAAGTCCTCAGACTCTCGCGGGGCGCCAATTGCCACGCGTGGAGCGAAGCACTTCAGCTGCAGCTCATCGCCCTCAAAGGCAATCTGAAGCAAAGTATTAAGAAATTAATAAATGTTTCTGTTTGCTTGGAAATTGCTGCACTTCATTTACCTGATTCTGTTTGGGTACAAGCTCCAGGAGTGGCTGAAGCAGCGATTCGCAACGAAAGTCAATGCCCACTTTTAGCTTCTTCAGTGGCATGCCACGAAAATTGACGGGTGAATCACATTTGGGCGCCGGCAATAGCCGTATGTCGCGTGCATTGGACCAGGCAATCAACCAAATCAAACCGCAATCACAGGCCAACGGATTGTTCGATAAGTCCCTAAGAAATGCATATGTCAGATATTTCAGTTTCATATAGATAGGGGGAAATAATGAAGAGAACTCACAGCTGCTTTAGCTTCGGCATTTGATCGAATGTTCCTTCATATATATGACTTATAGAATTGTTACCCAGACGCAAGCGCTCTACATTGGGCAGACTGTTGCCAAAGCTGCGCTTGTCCAGTTCGGTGAGCAAATTTGATGATAGATCCAATCGTTTAAGTTCCGTAAAACTTTTGAAATCGTCTTCGCTTATGTGTGCAATTGCATTTTTACTGGCATTGCTGCAAGGTAACTCATAAATAACAATTGATTTATGGCCAAATGTATAAAACAATGCTTACATGCTGACTATGTTGTGGACATCGTCGCCAAAATTTAACTCCCTCCAATTAACAATATGCAGCTCGTCGCAGCGAACGCGCAACGATTGAATATTCTCTGAAATATTCTTGCAGCTACATTTACTGGGGCACATTGCCTGCACAACAAAGGTCGTTTGCGTGCAGAGCGCGACCAGGGCCCATAGCCACATTTGTGCAACGTTCATTTTGTTGCTTATTTATGTAGTTGCATTTGTGGCGTCCATTTAATTAACAACACATTTGCAAACAAATGCATAATAAACAAAAACAGCAAAAGTTACAACAAAAAAATTCAACCAGTATTGCTCTATGCACAGAATTTTCTATAATGCGGCGGTCTAATACTAAAAATACCAAAGAATACTAACATATGTTATCGATAGTCGCTTTAAATATATTAAGTATTTTAACTGATTTTTATGTGGCAAACATTATCTATACGACTTTCAAACGACAGCTGGGAGAAATCCTCTAGATAATCATGTTTTATTGTCAGTTTAAGTGATTTTGTAGTCATGGTTTCTTGACATATTTTTTTCAAGCCGAGGTGTAATCACTCACTTTATACAGTAAACAATGATGTACTATCAAAACAAAAACATCAAATCCCATTCGAATTATTTACGTTTGGGCTATTTAATTATTTTATTCATATCTATAAGAAACAGCAAAATTTAAAATGTGCAACGGACCCAACCGCAATTCAAATAAATAACTATACAAACATATTCAATTGAAGGCACCAAATATTGCCCGCATATACAATTATCTGTGTCTTGGGTGTGCACACACTTGTATCGTATATTGTTTTTATAAAAATTGACGTGTCAGATATAAGAGTGGTCAGCTTTATATACATCATACCATATTGAACACGTCGTTTAGTTAAGCATAAAGTGGATGGAGTTCTTGAAGAGTGGTATCAAGACCGTGCTGGGCAGCACTGAGCCGGGCCAGCAGCCCAGTGCAGCCGAAACAGTTGAAAAGCTCGTCGATCGAGTTTATTCGTCGACCCTGCTCGAGGATCGCCGTGATGCTTGCCGGGCCTTGAAAGCGCTCTCACGGAAATATCGTATAGAGGTGGGTGCTCAGGGCATGCCACCTCTAGTGCAGGTACTGCAAAACGATGGCCAGGACGCTGAAATCATAAGCTATGCCCTAGACACGCTGTGCAACATTGTCACCAGCGAGGAGTTCGACGAGGAAGCTGACAATCCGGCTGTATCCGTGAATGTGGGCGAACAGTTCACCGAAATGTTCATCAAGAATCCGGAGCATGTCACTCTCGTCATGGGCTATCTCGATGAATACGATTTTCGTGTCCGTCGAGGCGCCATCCAGTTGATCACGTCTCTGATTGCGAATAAGACACGCGAACTGCAGGAACTGGTGCTGGTCAGTCCGATGGGCGTGTCCAAGCTTATGGATTTGCTCACCGACAGTCGTGAAGTGATCAGAAACGATGTTCTCCTGCTGCTCATCGAGCTGACCAAAGGCAATTCCAACATACAGAAGATTGTGGCATTCGAGAATGCGTTCGATCGTCTGTTCGATATTGTGCGCGAGGAGGGCTGCTCGGACGGCGGCATTGTGGTCGAGGATTGTCTTATATTGCTGCTGAATCTACTCAAAAACAATTCCAGCAATCAGCAGTTCTTCAAGGAGGGCTCCTACATACAGCGACTGGCCCCAATGTTCTTGTTGAACAGCTCCAATGGCAGCTCGGATGCGGACGAGAGCAACTGGACACCGCAAAAGGTCTCCAATTTCCATTGCATGTTGCAGGTGGTGCGAGCCCTGGTGACGCCCAGCAACCAGCAGCAGGTGGTCAGCGCGTGCCAGCGTGTAATGCAAAAATCACAATTGCTGCAGGCGCTCTGCGACATCCTCATGAGCAGCGGAGTGCCAGCGGACATACTGACGGAGACGATCAATACTGTGGCGGAGGTGGTGCGCGGCGATCGCGAAAATCAGGACGAACTGAGCCGCGTTCAGGCGCCCAGTCAGCCACCGCGTCCGGCCATTGTGGTCCTGCTCATGTCCATGATCAATGAGAAGCAGCTGCTGGCGTTGCGCTGTGCGGTGCTCTATTGCTTCGAGTGTTATCTCTATCGCAACTCGGATGGTCAGCGTGCAGTGGTGCAGACGCTGCTGCCATCTAGTGCCACGGACGTGAGCTCGCTCTCCACCGGGCAGCTGCTGTGCACGGGTCTCTTCTCGACAGACACGCTGGCCAATTGGTTCGCTGCTGTGGCCCTGATGCATACGCTCGTCGAGAACGTTGCCCAGAAGGAGGAGCTGCTGCGAGTGCTCCTGGCCACGCCTGGCGGACAGCGACCCATCACACTGCTGGAACAGTGCACAAGTCTGATGCAGCAGGAGCGCTACCGCTTGCAGAGCAAGGTGGGTCTGCTCATGCTGCTCAGCGTTTGGCTGGCCCACTGTCCGGGCGCGGTCAAGGCCTTGCTGGAGACCCAGGGCACCATGGCCTATCTGACTGCCCAGCTGTGCGCCAATGAGCACGACGAGCGTGAGTATCTGGTGCAGGGCATGTGCGCCTTTCTCATGGGCCTCTGCATACAATTCAACGACAATTCGCTGGCCAACCAGCGCCGGGAGGACATCAGCCAGCTGATCATCAAGCGCATCGGCCAGGAGACCTTCTGCAACAAGCTGAGCGAAGTGTCGCGCCACGAGGCCTACAGTCGGGCGTGCAAGCAGGCACAGATACGAGCCAAGGGCGCCAGCGAGCTGCTGCTCGATTACGAGTACTGCAAGCTGTACAAGGGTCTGGAGGCGTTGATAGCCAAGCTGGTCAGCGGCTTCGATGTGGATGGCATTGAGCTAACCGAGCTCACTCTCAGCTCAGAGGCCTCCGCTCTGGTGGCCCAATATAAGGGCATCATACGCGGCATGGACGCGCAAATACAGACTCTGGAGCAGTCCAGCAAGCAGCTGGAGCAGCAGAACGCTGAGCTAAAGGAGCAGCTGAGCCAGGAGCAAACGATCAGGGCCCAGCTGACCGATCAGAATACGCTGCTCAAGGCACAGCTGGCGGCGCAGCCAACAGCAGCTGCAGCTGCAACTCCAACGACAACTCCAACTCCAATTGCCACGGCAACCGCGGAGCAACAGACCACAGAAACTGCCAACGATGAGCAGCTGAATGCAGCTCGGTATCAAGCGAACATGTATTTTGCGGAGAACATACGATTGACCAAGGAGCTGGAGACGCTGCGTCAGCAATTGGCAGCGGAGAAACAGCGAGCGGACGCCGCCCAGGAGTCATTGCTAGCTACACAAAAGGATCAGGACGATTTGCTCGAGCTCCTCGCCGATCAGGAGGCCAAACTGGCGCGCTACGAGTCGCCGACGAATGAAGCCAACGACACAAACGGCAGATAACTTGTGGCAAGCGAATCTTTCTATACGAATGTGGATTGTATTAGCACAGCACTTGATGTGTTCTACAAGGATGTGGACTGTATTAACATATACACACACAGGCACTCGCGGGCGCTGCTGTGTGTGTGTGGATGCTCGACTCAATGCCAACTGCCCCTCTCCTTATGCATTCTTATTGTTTTTACATATATACATACCATTACATAGATAAACTCACACACACTTACGTATATGATTATACACATAAATATGTACCCACAACTAATGTATTTGATTTGTTTCACAAATTAGACGAGTCCTTCTATTTGTGTATGGCCCCTTTAAATGTGAAATAAATAGTGAATGCAATATTATACAAGTATATATAAAGAATTTTAGTTTTACTACCACAACATTTTAGATGATCCAAGGTAAATGGATCAAGGAACCAGCCATATCGTCACATTAATCATGGACCCATAACGTTTACGTGATCAATGCTAGATTTCTCATCAATCGTTCGTGGATTCCTTCAGTTTTATATAAATTATTAAACACTGTCTCTTCTCTCTTACTCTCTCTCTCCCCCTCTAACTCATTTCCGATTAAGAAAATTTGACTAAATTCAAGCTCGTAACAATCTTGAAATGTGGCGTCATGACTGAAGCGATTCACAATAGTTTAAAATTCGAGATACTCTTCTATCATGATACGCTAAGCCAGTATATCGTTAATTAGCGTGGGATGCTTAAATGTCAATGTTTAGATTTGCAAACGGATTCTATCTTCAGGTTCAATTATATTGGGATTCGCTGGCATTTGATTTTTTGAAATCCTTCAGCTGGGTCTTGAAATACTATAGGGTCGTTAGCTCAATTAGATTCAAATATAATAAAAAAGTTATATAGAAAGATAGGGATATATTTTAGGAATAGACCCTAGAACCTTATTATCATCATGACACTTGCTAAGCGACATAGAATTACTTCAGAACTCCCATATTTCTTAAGCTTCACTTTAGTATATAGACATTTAGATCTATCTATATAGCTGCACTTTGAGAGATCTCTACATAATCCATAGAAGATTAATCAACATTCACTGGAACACATTTTCGATGGGTTTTGCCTTTTAGGTTAGCGCACAGATATAGTTCACAAGAAAAAAAAATAAGGTGTGTTAACTTAGGTATATCTTTTGACCATTCACATTTATTAACGAGATGGCTACAAAAATTTGTTTCTTATTTTCGTGGATAGATGTTTGTAGATGGTTGGTTAGCAATTGTTGGCCACTTCACATTTACTTCTTGTCACTTGAAACAGAGCTCTTCGATTCACGGATCGAGGCGGAACGGCGGCGCTTGGCCTCCTCACGCTTGGCCTTCGACTCCTTCTTACGCTGCACCAGGAGCTTGGCGTAATCAGCGGCAGCTTCCTTGGAAGCCTGCTGGCGCTTCTTCTTCAATGCAATGCGTCTGTGTTTGCGCTGCAGGACCACTGGGGTGATCAGACGCTGAATTTTGGGTGCCTTGGAGGTGGCCTTCTTGCCCTCCTTGGCGGGCAATGGGCGACGCACAACATAGGGACGAACATCATCCTCCTTGGACAAGTTGTACAGCTTGCGGATCTTGCTGGCACGCTTGGGTCCCAGACGACGTGGAATTGTGGTGTCTGTAAGACCGGCAATATCTTGTTCGCCCTTCTTGATGACAACGAGCGCCAACACGGACATGTTGGAGTCCACAATGCAGCCGCGCACAGACTTACGCTTGCGCTCGCCAGTGCGGCGTGGGCGGTAGCAGGAGTGTCCCTTCTTCAACAGAAGACGCACACGACCTATAAAGCGGCAAGTAATTCAATTGTAATTAAATAATTCTTAGTCATGAGCTGATTCGATTAATTTACTCACCGTGCGAGAGAACACCTTGCTTCATGGGGAAACCCTGCTTGTCGTTGCCGCCAGAGATACGCAGCTGATAGCCCTTCCATTCATCACCCAGAATATCGGCTTCCACAACTTGGCCCATACGCTTCTCGTAGAACACACGTAGTTTGTGCTCATCGACAACCTCGAACAGCTTTTGGCATCCCGTTGCGGGATAAGAAACGTTGAGCTGCAAGTAAACACATACATTTGTTGTTTAGTTCACATACACATCCATATATACAAATTTGCCGCAATCGTTATCTTCAATTTTAAAGGCAATCACTTTAGTTTTTCAAGTTACACTAAATTTGTGCACAAGTTTAATGTTAATGCTAGCTGTTTTTCGCAATATTTCATTATGTTTACAGCGTTTGTTATATTATTTTTCACAAAATTTTTGCACACCTTCATTATGTTGGTCTTGCTGCAATCAACACAGAAAAAAAAAGAAACGCTCTTGTCAAATACCAACTAGGTAAGGGAAAGGAAATAGGGATGCAGCAACCAAACTTATATCGAACTTATCGATATGATAAAAACAAGCTATCGATTAAATTTAAATACGCTTCAAACGCCGAATGCTGAATCTAAATTATGCACGCGAAATTGAATTGTAGACTATTCAAAGTAACTTCAATTCTGAATGTGAAAATGTCTTAAAGACAGAAGGTATTAAAAAATGTTGCTAATTCAATCGCTCATCCCTAATAAACTAGGTTCATCGATATTGTCCAATGCAAACATACCCATAACAGCTGTCAAAAAATGGAGTGACCATGGTACTGAATTGGAAAACAGGGTGCCTCCACACGATAAACAACGATTACAACACGTGTTGTGCTTGAGTTTGTTATTAAAAAGTTGGATTTCATTGTGCACCAAAATGGGTAAACCAAAGAAGTCTAATGTGGCAACAATAAAAAATGTGAGCTTGGAAAAGCAAATAACAGAGGGTAAGGTACAGAAAGCTAAATCCAAGGAAAAAGTTAAGCTACGTGCAGAAGAGTCACCGGTAGGTACATCCTTGACAGATGCAATTTCATATAAATAATACAGGTGCTTTATTAATTGACAGAATATAGATGCGAAAAGCAGTCAAAAGATATTGGCAGCAGCTAGACAACAGCAACTTGAGCTCGACGAGGAGAACTTTCCAAGCTTAACAGCACCAAGGACTGTGAAACTTAACTTGAGTATGTAAACAAATATTTGTAAATCAATTTATTTTTAACACCATAAATCCTTTAGATGATGGCATGGATCAAGACGAACAGGAAGATGTTAACGAAAACGATTTCATGGCGGATTTGGGTATGGACGAAGACGATGTCGCTGCCTTCGAACGTTTCCAACAGCCGCCTGCAAAAGAGGGCAAACGCACTTTGCATCTGTCTGAGATTATAATGCAAAAGATTCAGGAGAAGGGCGCCGATATACACACCAAAATCTCGGATGAGGGTTCATTGAGAATTGAGGAAATCGATCCGAAAGTAAAGGAAATGTATGAAGGAGTCCGAGAAGTGCTCAAACGCTATCGTAGTGGCAAAATACCGAAGGCCTTTAAAATTATACCCAAACTAAGGAACTGGGAACAAATATTGTTCATAACGGAGCCACACAATTGGAGTGCTGCTGCCATGTTCCAAGGTACTCGTATCTTCTGTTCGGTGCTCTCCCAGGCGATGGCTCAGCGTTTCTATAATTTGGTTTTATTGCCACGCATTCGTGACGATCTTTGCGAATACAAGAAGCTCAATATGCATTTGTACAATGCGCTTAAGCGTGCGCTCTTTAAGCCGGCTGCCTTCATGAAGGGTATCATATTGCCATTGCTCGAATCGGGCGACTGCACCTTGAGGGAGGCAATTATATTTGGCAGCGTCGTGGCGCGTAGCTCCATACCTGTGCTGCACTCGTCTGCATGCCTGCTGAAGATCTGTGAGATGAACTATTCAGGTGCCAATTCGATATTTATTCGTTATTTCTTGGACAAACGTTATGCACTGCCATATCGTGTTATAGATGCAGCGGTCTTTCATTTTCTGAGGTAAGCACTAGGGGATGATCCAAGAAATATCCATTCTCAATCACTTTTTCTACCACTACAGATTTGAGCAGGATAAGCGTGAATTGCCTGTACTATGGCATCAAAGCCTGCTGACTTTTGCGCAACGTTATAAGAATGATATTTCATCCGAGCAAAAGGAGGCGCTGCTGCAGCTTTTAAAGTAAATATCAATTTTATAGGTTATGCAATCTAACATTCAAATATATTTAACCCTTTCCAATTGCAGAAAGAAATCTCATCCGAAGATCACGCCGGATATTCGACGTGAATTGCAGGCGGCCCAATGCCGTGATGTTGAAATGATGGAGACAATGAACGAAACCGCTGGTCAGCCGATTAAGATGTACACAGATGAAGATGTCGGCTACGAGGGCTAACAAATTATACTATATAGGCATTATTTTTAGTTAATAGTTTTTGAACTATTTTATATTTTGAAAACAATCAAAAGCATTGATTATGTTTATGTAAATATATAGTATATATACACATGCGTGACTGAAATTTACAATTTATGAATTCCTTAAGAACATTTAAATTTTGATTATTTTACTATCGGCGCATTTTAATATATTTATCGGCTAATCGTAACGTATATCGATTCATTCATAACATAGCACATGGATCTTTCAATTTGAAGACATAATCCGTCGACAGTCGTGCAACTCTCAACTAATTGTCAACTATCTCAGTGATACATCTTGGAGTTTTTTAACAGAAATTAAATATTTACACCACATTGGGGTGCCACCGATTGTTTATTTTATAATTGAATTGCTTATCGATAGTTAAAGCGTAAAGAAGCACTTGTCAGATACAATAAGTAAATCAGCTGTTGGCTTTTGTCGGTTATCACAAAAAAAAAAAAACATTACAAATTAATTTTAGTTAACATTTTGAGAGTAACTAGAAATTTCATTCAACAAATGGATTCGAATTTGCGTAACGTATGCTTGGCTTACCTAACTGCTACATTTTTAATTCATAAATCCATTATATGTATGTACTCAATTGCAGCTGAAAGATTTTCTTACATTATACAACAAAGTCACTGAATTGTGCTTCAATCGCTGCATCGATAATCTCAGCCAACGTGAACTATTCGAGCAAGAGGTAGGCATGCATAATTATCTGTTTCTCTAGAATTGATTAAACATTACTTCGTATAAATAGACCACTTGCGTGGATCGATGTGTGACAAAGTTTGCACGCTTTAATCAAAATATGATGAAGTCCTATGTGGATGTGCAAACGAAAATCAATGCCAAGCGGATGGAAGAAGTTGAGCAACAGAACGCTAAACAATTGGAGCAGCAGCAGCAGGAGGAACGCATCAAAGAGCAGCTTAAGGAAAAAGAAGTTTCTGTCGCAGTACTAACGCCAGCTACATCGCCGGCTAAATTGGCCATGTAGCAGCAGCAGAACCAAATGGATTGGAATGCCATGCCCCAGCTTTTATTTACAATACTAGACAGTTAAGCAGCAACAACAAAAATCACACATACATACATACATACACACATATATATATACACTATACACCATAGAAATGCCGCGCATTTGTCTGCTTGCATTGATCGGCCTGCCGGGTGCTGGCAAAACAACTCTTAGCAAGTGGCTAATGCAGCAGCAGCCGGACTTACTGGCTGGCTGGCATTTGTTGCACTTGTGCTACGATGATTACTTCGATATACAACCTACAAACAAGATAGAATACAAAGAGCAACGACAGTTTATATACAATTTGCTTGAGCAACTCATTGTGGCTCTACAAGCAGGCAAGGCCGATCTGCCAGGACAGGTACGAGAATCAGCCACAACAACTGGCAACAGCAATCATCTAATAATATGCGATGATAATCACTATTATCGCAGTATGCGCTATAAACTGTATCAACTAAGTCGCAATCAGAATTGCCTATATGCCCAACTTCATCTGGCTAGCAGCTTGGATGACGCTCTGCTTGCGAATGAGAAACGTGGAGCCAATGGAGCATTGCCACCAGCAGTAGTACAACAAATGGGAACGAGACTCGAGCCACCAAGTGAAACTTTGGCTTGGGAGCAACTTACATTAACACTTAATAGCACAATAGATTTTAATGCAGTAGCAGAAGAAATTCACAACTTTTTACAAACATTACTCAATAGCCCACTAATTGTTACGCCTGCACAGCAGGAAAAGCAACCGCAATTGCAATCGCTGACCCATCAATTGGATTTAAAGTTGCGGGCCCGCATTCAGAACCAAATGAAGTCCAACAAAGTCGAGGAAATGCAACAGCAGCCAGAGCTACGTCTACGAAGTCTTGCTCTAAACGAACAACGCAAACAGATTTTAGCACAATTTCGTTTTGATATGCGCAGCGGGCAGATGGAATTTTCTAATGATAAATTGGAATACTATGTTAATATGTTAAAGTAGACTAAAGAAATAAGCGTTAACTGTTTAAACATTGTACATATAAACATAATTGCTATAGTCTAGTGCATTAAATAACAAACAAACGAAACGATCAGAAGTTTCATATTAAGGAGTGTAAATTTCTCTCTCATTCTCTCTGATTGTGTGGCTCTTTCTTTCTGATGTTTACCTGTGTAATACATCTCTCTCTCTCTCTCTCTCTCTCTTTCTAATATAGGAAATATAGATATAGACCAAATGTATTATAATGCACTTAGTCATTCTCTATATAGATAATAATACCTATAATCCCCCACAAAGCATTTCCCCAATAGTAATTCCTTTTCCATCTGTCCAATATTACAAGGGCTTATTCTGGTGCCTCTATAGTCCTTACAGAAGGAAGCAAAACACATATATGTATGTACACATCCCTATTGTATATACTGTACACAATAGCTCGCATATAAAACTAGATTTATTTATGAAAAGTACATTTTAACCTATAATCTAATATTTATATATTTGATGTTTACACCACCTTCACTTGACTAAGATCACGCTTCTCGATCATGCGCATCTGCTTCTTCTTCATGCGCTTCAGCTTAGCAGGATTCTTGATCACTTGCACGACCTCTGATCGTCGCTCGTTGGCCAAACGTCGCTCGGCATTCTCGACGCGTCGCTGATGACGCTGTACAGCAGCTTCCTTTCGCTGATCCTTGATCTCCTTGGACTTCTCTTTGATGTAACGCATTTCATTCCGCAGGGCGACTTTCTTCTCAAATGATAAGCGATTTACTGTTTTCTTAATGCTGCTGAATCTGTGAATGAAGAGTATTCGTGAGTATGTGATGCATTTGTGTGTTTTTGAATTCTTTTACTTCTGCTTGGGTGTCTTCCAGGGTCGATTGGATTTTGGCTGACCGCGGGGTATTTTTGATTCGGGTTTCACCACCTTTTTGGATTTTGGTTTGGGTTTGGGTTTGGCTTTGGATTCGGGTTCAGGTTCGGGTTTGGCTATAGGCTCAGCCTCTGGTTGTATTTCGAGACTTGAAGCATTACTATCCGGAAGGTCAGGATCATCGACCGCAGATGATTCGGGCGTCGGTTCGGCTTTGAACTTAGATTCAGCCCTTGGTTTTACTGTGGGACTTGAAGTATTACTGCTCGGAGAGTCAGAATCATCGACCGCAGTTGTATATACTCTAACCATGTTTTTGTCGCTATTTAGAATACACAAACTAAAACAAAACACGGCAGACTGTGCACGTGTTTATGGTGCTATCGATACTAGCATTTGGTCAATTATCGATACTGCAACTAGCAATACAACAGTGCTGTAAAAGATTAGTATTCTTTTAAATAAACACTAAATAAACCTTTTGTCATTTACTAAACTTTTTTTCCTTTATTAATTTAAGCATTATTTTAAACGCTATTGAAAGCGTTAAAAACACGTATCATATAAACGCATATTCAGCCTAAACATTAATACGTTATCGACTTGGCGCCAAACTTTGGAAATTTGAATAAAACGACATATATAAAAAAAAAAATTTATTTCACTCAGCAATTTTACAAAGTCATACAAAATCGCAAACTGTGCAATTTGTTGTTTCCCAGCGATATTGTTTCTTTTTTTCAACTTTGGTATTAATTTACATATTTACAGGCACATGGGAGAGCAACTTAAATAGCTCCAAATTCAATTCTTCCTTCTCGAATCGTAAGTTGGGGCCGTATTCTCCTCTGATGAATCTGTGCTGTTGTCACGAGTAGCCACCGGCTGACTCAGAGATTGATTGTGTTGATTCACATTATAGTGATAGAAGAACGCCTTGCTATATTCGAATGTCGATATCATGATCGCACAGGCTGGTGCCACTTTGAATAGACGTGGACCAAGTCCCGCAAAGACCCCACGCAAGCCATTTAAACGATAAATACTCGCCAGACGGTCTATAACTGATTTGTTGCTCGTTATTGGCACATTCTTGGGCGGATTATCTATCAGAAGTCAAAGATAAAAATAAATAGAACTGTAAAACAAGATACAGCACGTGTGTTGGGGCTATCGCTGACTGCTATCGATGCAGCCAGTGCTGTTTAGTACAGCAAATGACAGGCCTACCTGTAAATATGAATTTCTCACCAAATTCGATCTGTTCATGCGTCTTTATGACATCAAAAGGTGTTGTGACCGTTGCAGCTACCTACAGGCGCAGGGCAAAGGTTCTTTAGTTACGAATCTTGTCAGCACTTAGTACTACTTACCGATCCCGAAATAGCACCCGCTATAAAACTAAAGCCAAACGTAGGTTCGACAACGTTAAAACTACTCTTTAAATATTCGTAACATGTCCAATAGATGCCAGAGAAAGGAACATCCCTCAAGATAGTGGGCGGCAGACCTCGCCACAGTCCGAGCACACCTTGCGACTGCAGGACCTGCCGTATGGAGCCCAACATCTCGGCATTTGTCATTTTCTGGGACTGCATCTTAGTGCGTATCATTTCGACGGGGCTGACAACGGTTACCGCCAATATGCGAGCTGTAACGCCCGCCATCATTGGAACCAGCATTGGAATGTTCCGGGTATAGGCTGTTGTTTGTACAGGGGACAGGTACTTGTAGTGCATATCGATAAAGCGTGCTTTGAGTTGCTCATATGCAACAAAATAGATAATGGTCGAAGGTAGCGCAGAGATAAGAGTTGGACTAAGGCCTGACCAGAGTGATCCAATGCCTTCAGCGCGACTGATTTTGATGAATGCATCCTGAGCAGGGAATAATAACTAGTAATTAGGCAAATGGAAATACATATATGTTATTTCGACTCACTATGGTGCCTGTAAAGTGCAAGGATGAGGAGGCGGAGGAAGGTGATAGTTTATTAAATGCAGTCGCTGCCGTCGGCGTAGGCGTATTGGGGCCACAGGGACAAATGTGATCCATCAGGCCATTGCAATAGAGAAAGCATTTATTGGATAGCAGCGCCGACTGCTGGGCCTGCAATCGGGTCTTGATGACGTCCAAAGGTGTCACTGCAATTAACAACAATTATGATGAAATTATCAGGTAAACACGTACATTCACATGCACATATGTATGTATGCATGTAATTATAGTATATGTGCATATTCATAACTTACTGAAGCAGGCGGTAATCATGGCACCCGTGCATGCGGATATAACCTGCTGCATTGGACGTATACGAAATCTGGGATCTGTCATCTTGAATTGCGACGGATTTGCCGGTTTTCCACTTTTAGCCTCCATCGAAACTTTTGCTTCACCGCTCTAATTAGTACGTCGACAATCTAAGTTTGTAAATGATATATGTTACAGTGTGCGTAGTTGTTTCCGCGTTACTTTTGTCATTCAAAAGCCCTCGATAAACGTAACAACCAAACAAACAACAAAATGTATCCACATAGATCCCCACGTTTGTGTATAGTTTCAGAACTATCGACAGTTAAACAGCTGTGGTGTTATGTGCACTATCAGTGCAACAGCTGTAGCTGTCAGTGTTGACAATTTAGCTTTAACATGCCTTAACATGCTATTGCTTGATGGCATAATTTACAAACGGAATTTGCTTAATTATGTTACATTAAATTAGTATCGAATGTATTACTCTTTAATACATAATTATGCAATTCTGTCATTTTTGAGTACTTAGTGCTGGAAATCACCCAACGAATAAACTATCGATATTAAGTCGATTGTCGGCATGTTTGTGTTTTGAACATTATACAGTTATGCTACATACCGGTATGCTTCACATCGAGATTGTACCGAAAGAAGAATGATTTACTATACTCAAATGCCGATATCATGATAGCACAAGCTGGTACCACGCGTAGCATACGTGGTAGAATTCCTACATAAAGGCCTCGTACACCCTGCTTCTGATATATGGCCCTTATACGTGCAAATACTGACGTCTTGGCCATGGATGGTGAAGCATTTGCCTTTGTGCCTGTATTGCCCTTATCCGCACTCTTTGAATCCGGGTACAGTACATCCTGTCCCAGCTCAATTTGCGTATGAGTGGTAATTAGATCAAAAGGCATTGTAACGAACGTGGCCAACTAAAAGCGAAGAATAGTTAATCAATTGCAAATTTTGTAGATGGTGGCAGGGACAGACCGCTCCGGATGATGCGCCAGCCATAAAGCTAAACCAAAACGTTGGCTCTGTCACATTGCACGCCCGCTTTATTGACTCATATGCAGCCCAATAGGTGCCCGAGAAGGGGGCATCCCGCATCACGGTCGGCGGCCAGCCACGCCACAATACAAGCATGCCGTGCGTTTTGATCAGTGAGCGGAGCACCACCCATAGCTCCTTATACGTCACATAACCAGATTGCATTTTAATGCGAATCATCTCCAACGGCGTTATGGCCGTCACGACAACCGTGCGAGCGCATATACCCGATGCCATTGGTACCACCGAGGGTATATTTACACTCAAGTCCGTCGATGTTTTCACAATCTTTCCTTTGCCGCTATTATTGTTGCTGAGGCGGTCCACAGGATACCAAAAATAATAGAAGCTCGAAAAACTATGTTTCAAGTACTCATAGGTGAGAAAGTAGATAATGGTGGACGGCAGTGCTGAGATCAGCGTGGGACTCAATCCCGACCACAAGCCCAAGATGCCGTGACCGCAAATTATCTTGACAAAGGCATCCTAAAAGGCAGAATGAGCGAGCAAAAGAAAGAATTATAGAAAGAGAGGGAGTGAGTGAGAGAGAGAGAGGAAAATCCATACCCAGGGGACCCTATATGGACTACCTACCATTGCTCCGCGCAGAGGGCGCATGCTGGTCGCATCGGCCGCTGCGCTCTTGGGTAAGCAATCGGTACTATTGGGCTTGCAGACGTGCGTCATTAGGCCATTGTGAAAGACATAGCAGAGCTTGGAGACAACTGGACGATATCGGGCTTTAGTCTGCGCCTGAGTTTGTACCCGCGTCTTGACTACTTCCATGGGAGTCACTGTAGAAGGCGCTCTCCTTAATCTGCATCGTACGAGGATCTTCGCATTCCCACTTACCCACAAATGTTGTGATCAATCCACCAACAAGAGCCGATATCACCTGCTGCATGGGCCGAATGCGGTAGCGCGGATCATCGGCCAGTAGTGCTGCTGGCAAACGCAATGGCTCTCCATCAATCTCCGCTGGATCAGGTGGCGTCCGGTCTCGTTCTGGATGCATATTACCTTAGTTCAGTACTTCCTGCTTAGCAATTCTTTTGATATCCCTAGCTGTCATGCAATGCAATAACAGAAGAGTCTAATCATAACTATTGTTTGGTGGCCAAAATACTATTACCCAGGCGTGCGAATCGGATGTGACAACTATCTATGTATTTATATATATATATGTATATATTATTTTATATGCATATGCATATGCATGCAGTATTTATTTCGATATCTATATATATACATATACATGTATATATTTCTGCAATTTATGAAATGCGGCCCCAAGCTTTGATTTAGAGCAGCTTCAATTGGCTTATCAACATGCTCCACCACGCCCCACGTCGTCTGAATTACCATATGTACATAACAATATCTATATCTGAATCTTGTCTGTCTAACATTACGATCTACTGAAATTACCCAAAAATATGAAATGTGTATATATTTTTATTTATATACATATTGAATTTGTGCTTGGCAGTGTACAATGAATTATATATCCAGATCATACGATTACGAATAATTTCTAACGGCCCATAGGATCACTTGACACTAGAAACAGGGATAAATTGTTTATCGCAGAGTGACTGAATTAAATATAATATCAATAGTGAAAAGTTTTTATATATCTTAGCAATCGATATTTAGACCAACTACTAAAAGTACAGATAGAGTTCGAAATTATCTATATATTTGCATAATTGAAATTCGGATTGTGTAGTATTTGATCTATCCAGTCAAAGCTTTTGGCTTATTATATAGTATAACCACAATATAGTTGAGCTCAGTTAGCAATGGAGTCTATTAAATATAGCCTTGATACAGCATGGCTTACCGCTGACCGCCTATGGCAGCCCCTTAAAAATATGTTCGAACATCCTCACATCAAAAAGCTAAAAATTTTCAACTTTTTGATTATTGAAAACAGCTTGATCGACTGTTGTCAATCAGTATAGTAAATATATTTATATATATTATGCTAAAAGCCCCCCATTCAAACAGTTATAAAAACAAAGTTTACTACGACAAGAAAATAATAACATTTAATTGCGTGAATTATAAATATGAATTAAATTAATCAAATTTAATAATAATTTGCATTACACTTAAGTTATTACAGTTAAGTATGAGTAGTAAGTCAGTTATTTCATTTATATTTTAGCAAAACGAAAAAAAAAAAAACAAATTTTGATGTAATTTAGGCCAATTGTGAATTCTATTTTCGACTTTATATTTTTAGTAGGGATTTGTTGCTGTTGTTGTTGTTGTGTTGTGTTGTGGTAAATAGCTGGCCTGTGGATAGGTAGGACTACGAATTACTGGTGCCTCCATCTCACTTGTGCGCAATGGGTATTAAAGTTTCACCGGCAGTGAGCGCTGGCAGCGGTGCATCCACGGTCAGGACACCATCCTTGCTCAGGGACGAGCGAATCGATTCGGGATTCACGCCCTTCGGCAACAGAAACTCGCGATTGTATTCCCTGTAAACGCTCTTTGTATCTGATTTCTCTTCGTGCTTGGCATGCACCTGAAATGGGGAAAAAAAACCGAAAATTTTAATAGACTGAAGTGTACGAATGGAAACAACATTGGATCTGAAGCTTATGTGGATTACACTAACATTGCTAAGTAAGTTCTTCTTCTGTCTCTATGCATATGTTTTATACTCTTCTATCACATATTACTGCACGGTCTAGTTCTACATCCTATCCTAGCTTCCTCCTTCATACCATATATTTCCTTTGATCCACTGTGCTGTTATATATCATATGTATGTATCACATACCGTATAACAAAAGCCATGTATCATATATCTATATATCACATATCAGGCATCACATACATACATACGACTCTATCATATATAAATATAACTTACTATCATTTACCTTAAGTCCCATCATATACTAACTTTTCTAATATCATATATTAATATTTCATAAGCCATATATCATACACAACCGTTCATATATTTATATATTATAAAACTTAAACTTTCTATTCTGTAATAACATATTCTTAATTCCTTCATATGTCATTATATATGTACTCATAGATATTTCAATAATTGTCAATTCAAATACATAGATATTCATGATCTTACCAGCAACTTCTGATCGACAGTTTTCACAACAATCTCCTCGGGTGCGTATTGGCTGACATCGAAGCGCAGCTTTAGCACTTTGTTATCGCCCTCGTCCTGCAAATGATAAGGAATACAAAATATAGAATTACCGACGATCTATATAAATGAGAGCTCCGCTTTAACATACCTGTATCAATGGCGAGCTGATATCGGACACATAGTTCTGTGGCTTGGGCACTCGGGAAGGCAGTGCCGAGTTTGTTGTTGAGCTGCAAGAAAAACGTTCCCAATTCAGTATTCAAATTTAGTTGAAATTTATGAGCAAGTAGAAAATCATAAATGAATGAGTTATACACAATTGTTAGAAACACCTTGAGCTAGTTTTTGTGGTTTTTGTTGTGGTGGAAGTTGTGCGAAAAGTTTTGTGAAAAGTGCGTGTAAAGGCTTCCATTTCGAAGAAGTGTTTTTTGTCTTTGGGAAATCGGTTTTTGGAAACCGCTGGCAAACTCGCATCAAATGCAACTGAATTCGAAACTGAGCCTGGCATTCCTTCTCAGCTTCTGCTTCTTCTCCTTCTTCACATTTCTAACCTAACATATTTTATAAATAGCTCGGATTTCCGCTCTAGAGCAGAGTTTTATTTTAGGAATATGTGCGAGCAGCTGTCGAGCTGAATAAGGGGAGCTGGGCTCATGGGACGCATTTAAGTCAGCAGAGATGGGGATAAGTGTATATGTATATACATATGACTATATGGATGCATATAGAAAGATACATATGTATATGAAATTTATAGATATATGCATGTAATTGAAGAAGAATATCTTCTCTGTCTGGCTTACTTTATGATCTTTAGTGTGTCTCCGTAGATGGAGAGACTATTTTTATACATGCGTATAAATCTGCCTATAGGTCTGTCCTCATCACTGCCCTTATAGCAGACATTTCATATATGTATTTATATCAATTAACAAATCCGGGCTTATACATAACTGATTGCCTGTTCTTAGAAATCAGTTTTGACTTTACCCTGTATATGGATTAACTTTATTTGAGAATATTCTAGTAGTTGAGCATATTTCTTTCTAGAACTCAAGTGTTTTCCGTTGTTTTTTCTATGAAACAATGGGCACAAAATGTTGGCAAAGCTGCCAAAATTTTTGATTTTATTTATTTAGAAAAAGAAAAGAAAGAGAGGGAAAACGAGTGAGATAGAAAGAGATATACATGTAGTCAAAGCACGGGGCAGGTGCGAGGGAATATATAAACACTTTTTAATAGTACTGGAAATGTTACGCAATACAAAGACCTAGCCAAGTTGATTGAACTGTCTGCATATGGCATGGGCTATAAAAACCACCGATAAATATAAAATTTGAAACATCTGTCAAATCTTCAACATATGTATATATGCATACACATAAGTACATACATATATACATACTGTATTTATACATGCATTTAGATTATTTGTGTGAAATTTTTGAAAAATGAAAGAATTTTGAAGACTTTTTAAAGTGACAACACATGAAACTGTCTGTCAACAGTGTGCTAAAGTACATACTGAAAATAGTACAGAAATAGGTGTTTACCAACACAGCTGTATGTGTAAGTGAGTGTGTGTTATTAACATTTGAGAGTAAACAAGAATTCAACACAAAATAATTGTAAACGAAAAGTTTGTAGTCCATATTTTGTAGAGAGCATTGAATACCTGGTTGTAGTTGTTGTTTTTTTAGTAGAGCTTTTTTTTTCGTGAGGAAAGTTATTATAGTATAGATAATAATTATAGATATATATATATGTATTTTAATAGCAGTTTTTTTTCCCAAGCAGCATGTATAGGTAATAAGAAGAAAGAAATAGAGAAAAGATTGAAATATGTTTAAATATATATTCATGAGTTTGTATTTTATATATTAATATAAACTAGAGCATTTGTTTTCTTAATTATTAAACTGTACATTTATTTTCTGAGGTGCAAAAAAATATCAAGAACACACACACATACATACGCATGCAAATAAAACTTGAATAGGCAGACCAATGAACCGTAATTACTAGCAAAAATAAGACAGAGAGAAATAGGAAGAGAGAGAGAGAGAGAGTGAGTTTTAGGAAAGACTAGCGCTGACCACTCTTGCTACACTATACAACACTAACACAAACATACACACACATACCTATTTGTATAGACACTCACGCATACACGCATGCGAAGCGCTTTTGATAAGCGTGCCACTGGCTGGCAACGGTAAGCGTGCCCGCAGTCGACCTTGCTGCCAACGTGCAACGGTTAAATGCAACCAAATGTAACAAATACACACACAGACATATACATATATTAAAAAAAAAAGTATATATAAAGCAGCGGCAACTTTTCCCTACCTACCTAAAGTTGTGTGACTAATCGTAGAAACCGTTAATTCTAACATTCGGCTATTGGGGTTACAAGTCGCTGTACATATGGAGGAAGTCGCAGCACCTGCCGGAACAGCAGTTGGCGCTTACTTGCCAAAGTCTACACACACACACAGACACACACACACAGCGATGTATTGGCCTCTCTCCACACACACACACACGCAGCCAGAGACTTGACGACGAAACATACTTAATTTCTCTCTCTCCCCAGCGCTGATGATGTCATGCATATTTTTCGTTATTCGTTATTGTTATTGAATAAAAAGAAGCTCAGCGTGTACAAATGAAATAAAAAGAGAAAGAGAAAGAGCAACGACAACAACAACAATGTATGTATGTATATCAAATGTCAGACAAGGCGACGCTGTCGTTAAGTCGGCTGCAGTTGACAAAGGAAAGCAACTTAACGAATGCTAATCGATAGCCAATTACTGCTGATCAGCAACGATTACAAGTGGCATCGAGTTGTTGCTTACGAAACATTTTCGTGCTAAAAATTTGCATGATATCATCTTTTAGCCATTTACTTATTATCGCCAGCATCATCACAGTTGCATCACACGGCTAAATAAATTGGCAGCAAACATACAAATTAACAGACAAATACATATATGCGCACACATATCCATATACTATATGTACATATGTACATGTACTGTACAGTGGTACATAATTATTTACACCCACGCAAATGTGAGAGATCGAAAAATATGGAATTCAATTCAATTATTTTTTGTTTTGTTTACAGTAGCTATTCGTATATGATATAATAAACTGAAATAGATTATATATATTTAAATGTACATATGTATATGCAAGCGTTAGACAATTATAGTTAACCACAAATCAATAGAAAAGCAAAATCGTACTTCCAATTGCAAGTAAATAGACTTATCTGCCATGTAGACTATAAAGTATCTCTATTTGCATAAACAAATGTGCCAATTCGTAACCCAAGCTCAGTGCACACTATTTACTATGTATATACAATAGGTTAAACAAATTGAACAATAAATCAACCTGGAATAGTTGAATCTACATACATAGATAGTTAAGCACTTGAGCAACGACAATTGCAATCTATTTTACAATATACACATTATTTGTGATTCTATATGTGCTGCAATATAATAGCAAAATAAACAAAATCAATTTGTTGTCTATTGTATAGGTTCGTTGAAGCCAGATGACGATGACGTGATCAGTTATTTTTAAACAATAATATTTCATTTAATTTAGCAAACAGCAGCTGTGGATTAGCCACAGCCCTACAAGAGGGTCAATATCTCAATAGCAAATGGAACAGTTGAGTCATCGCTAGACTGAATTGACCGACCGCCCAACCATCCGCCCATCTCTAGTACACTTAACGAACCTTCTGCGCGCTGTCAGTCAAATTCGGTTGCATTAACAGTGGGTTGGGTGCTAAAAACATAAACCTAGTCTCATTTCCTTCGTTAATTGCAGTTTGAGCTAAAAGTTTAGTTTTGCACGCAATCTAACGGTTAAAGTTAAAGTTAAAGTCCACAAAGTTTGCTTCGAAAGTGGTTTTGTTGCTGTTGCGCATGCAAATGCATTGATGGAAGACAACAAAGCAGCTACAACAATAACAGCAACTAACAACAACAATAACAAATCGCTTCGATTATGTCATTGCCCATGGCCGAAGCACTGAAAACCACTCGCCGCAAATGATTTTCGAATTCGCCCTCAAGTGGCGCCCACGCGACGCGAACATCGTTGCCGTGTTGTCGCCGCAAGCAGATTGGAAAGGCCAGCGAGGCGCAACCGCGACGGCGGCGTCGATGTCTGCGTTAACAGCGACGTTGGCGACGTCATTTTGCTCTTCTCAGCGATATGCATGTATGCACGATATGAACGTATGTATGTACATGCATGTATACAGACATTGGTGCATGTGTGCGTGCGCACTTCTGTATCGTATTTAGTACATATTCTTGTTTTGTTTCAATCCTTAATGGCCGCCTTCACATTGTCTGTTTATTTAGTAAATATTTGACTTATATATTCACGTCGACATAAGCGTGCGTATGGCGTATGTGTGAGTGTATCTATGTATCTGGCAACTATGCCAGAAAAAAATTCCGTTACGCCACATCTCATAAAGTGTGCTAAAATATGCTTATTTTTTCTAGCTCAAAATGCAGCCATGGGTTACCGTTACAAAGCAGGGCTGCATTCGAAGACAACAACAAATGGAAGAAATGTGTAATTTTTTCTAAATATACATACATACATACATACATATGCATGTATTTTTGTAAGGCAGAAGCAAAATTAATTATCTAGAAAATCAACTCGAAACTATATTTTGGGCAATTTTCAAATATTTCAAAAAAGAAAAAAATGATTTGCTGAAGACCAGACAAATGGAAAATGTATGTACATACATATATTTAGATGGGGTGCGAGGCAGGGGTGAAGCGGGCTGCGTGAAAAGCAAATGTGACTCATTCCCCCGACCACAAAAAAAAAGCGCTGAAGATGAAGAAGAAAAGAAAATGTGTGCTCGAGTATCTAGGGCATTCAGCGCCAAGTTTTCGGTACGTAATCCAGCTGATGATGATGGTGATGGCCAGCTCGGGCTATTTTTAAGTTGAGTGTGTTCGGGAGATCCTCAACAAAAACGTAACATTCTGATAGAATTCTATTGTTGAGTATCATTTTCATTATCTGGCATATTGTATTATTTTCTGTCTAAACATTTCGCTAATTTCAAAAAAGGAATCTATTTTGGATAGTATATTTTTCATTGTTCCATTTGCCTAAGACTTTTCTTTTGATATTTCTTAAAATACCTATTCCCTCAAGATTTGCTTCGAATTTCCCGCAAACACTTTGAATGCAAAACGTTAGGGAACACTAAAGTTATTTTTAGCTATGGCTAGCTGGTCGTTATATTCTTTATTCCGATAAGAAACTATCAGCAATAACTTGACCCTTATCTGGATAAACATTTCTAGTAAACCTGATCGCAAGTAATGTTAACAAGATAGAAACATACATACATACATACATGCAGACCCATGCACACACAGTATACAATGTACAGTGTACTTAAGAGCAACCTTAGTAGATTTTAGTTGGATATTAATATAAGATGTTATGGGCCGCTTACCTGGTTGATTCGAAGAAATTCGCCTCGCGGTTCATCAGCTCGTGACGGAACTTGGCCATCTCCTCCTCCATTTTGCGCATCTCGGAATCGAAACGTTCGCGTATGCTGCTGAACTCCGTATCGATAACGCTGAAGTCGCCCAATTTGATGGGAATATTTCTCTTATTAGCCTCGGCCATTTTTGTTTTTTGTTTGTTTGTTTGCCTGTGTGTATGTGTTAGATACAACTAAAAAACTTCTTGCGTGAGCTGCTTTATCTGCTTCTTCTCGTTTGCTTCGGTTTGTTTTCACGCGCACCGCTCTTTACTTATTGGACTTGGTCAGCTTGTGTTTAAGTGTGCGTATTTATATATGTTTGTATGTATGTTCACTTTCTAATCAGAACCAAAAAAAATCACAATATATGTATTCTTTTAATGTGTGTTTGTATATATGTATATGTGTATGTTTGCTGATTGACTCGTATCACACAATTCAACGCGTTTCAAAGTTTTCTGTTTGACTGTTTTGCATTTTCGGTGTGTTGACGCTTTTATAGCGCGGCGCCACATAGCGGCCGCAACTACACAGAGAACGAACGCAACGCAAAAGAGAGAGACACAGCGAGAGAGAGAGTGCTGCTTACCAGTGCTGCCAACTTTTTACCAGAATAAAAAGCTGTTTTTAGATGGAAGAAACGGAAAAAAAAGCTGAAAATTTTTACAAAAAAGCCTAAAAAAAAGCGGTTATTATAGTT